GTATGGTAATGAGGAGACCATATGGTGAGAGAAAATGCACGGAGAACAATTGGGTTCCACTGGCTGAGTGAGAAGCTGGGAGAGAAAACCCGGCAGGGCGAGAGATTCGGGTGTGCTCTCAGGGTTCAAGGTTTAGCTGAGGTTTGTTTGGGATGACTGTTTTCCATAGGGGTTTCGAGTTTCTTAATCCGTTCCTTAATATGTCGGCTGTGAGAAATGACAAACATCTTGCAAATTTTGCAATATCATTCATCACAGACTGTCAGCAGTGTTTGCAAATCTGACTTGCAAGATCTTTTAAATGTGTTGTTCTTAAAAGGCAACAGTACCAAGTTTTTAGACAAAGTGCAGGGAAATTTAAGCACTTCTGACAAGCAGAAACATTAACGGTAATCATTTTTAAAACACTCACATCTTTTGCCTGCATGTTTAGCTGTAAATAATGCTAGGATGTATAAAAGCTTTAAAGTAAAAAAATGTAATAAATACTTTTTATTATGTTTCATAAAGGATAAAAAATGCTTCCAGCCACACATATGTGCTCTCTATACGTGTGAACATATAGAGATGGATCACTGTTCTCCTTCCTACTAACCAGATTGGAAACTGAGGAGGACAGCTTGAAAAAGCCTCTTCCGTCGATCCTGTACTATACTTGCTTCATAAAAGATGAATATAAATGCATTAGTTAGACACGGTGAGCTAAATTAGAAGGTCAGGCAGGGCTGGGAGGACTGAAAAATCACACAACCAATGAGTGTAATTACTCTTTTTTTAAGTCTATTAAGTGGTGTTGTTCTATCAAGGCTCAGGGGTATAGGACACGAAGAACAAGATAAAGTAATGTGTATTTATTACTCCCGCTGGATCAATTTACCAGATATTTTCAGCTCCATAAAGCAAAATACACAAATGCAGCCTTTGTTACTTTCTTCAAACTGCTTTATTTTCTCTAAAAGAGGGACTGGCTCTGGGGGGAAGAAAAATCTTTGCCCTGTGGAGGTTGCTATGCCAGCCTCTCCCCATGGAGGAAGGAGAGAAGGTTGCTGGGATCTAGGCAGGAGGGGATCTGGGTTCTGATGAGGAAGAGGAAAGAAGAGTTCACCTAGACTGGAGCAGGAAGTGTTTGGGTTGTGGGTTGGGAGGAAACATGGGAATTCAATGTGGTGGTCGCATTGAGGCTTTTGAGCCCAAGGATCTGAGTTTGAATCTTAGCTTTCCCACTTTCTAGGTGTAACCTCCCAGCAAATCTCCAGACTCTGGGGCTCTGATTCCTCATGTGTGGAATGGGAAGCACACGCTGTGCAGGGATTCGTGGTCCTCACTTATTACAGCCTCCCTGTATGCAGTACCTCTCTGTGTACCTTATCTCTTGACGACAGTGCTGTGGGGCAGGCTGCTTTACAGAGGAGAAAAGAAACCTGAGCTTAGGACTTGCATGCTTCAAGTGATGGATCTGGTTTCCACAATCCATGTCTGTGGCTTACGAGCCCTCTTTCTTGGCCTCCACGCTGTGCAAAAGCCTTAAACAACTTAAAATAGGCACAATGTAAGCATCTCCTTGCTTCTCAGGGTTCACAGCTAACACAGGGAATGCTAAGCTCAGGTACATTCTCACAGCTCGTGAGCTAAAAGCTCATGGACCCCTCATGAAGACAGCTTGAAACCAAAAAGGGAGGGAAGCATCTCTGACTTTCAGAACTGAGAGGGCACCTTGCCCGATGTTTCCAGGTGGCATCACTGAGCCATCGGTATCACAGCGTTTCTGACTGACCATACCCCCCATTCCTTTCACCTCTGCAGTATAAGAAGATCCAACCTTGACCCCAGAGTCACATTCCTCCCCTCCTGCAATGATCCACAGAAGGCAAGTCTGGTGAAACAACAGAATGCTGTGATTTAAAACCCTTACACTGGCTTTCTCATGTGCATATGAAAAAGGAAACCAAAAAACATCCAGGGTTAGCATAATTATAGTATTTAAAATATGTGTGTACAGCAAACCGTCACTGATGGTAACTTTCAGACAAAGATTCTGCTTGCTTCTGTTTGGGAAATGTGAAAAAATGTATGCTTTTCCAGTTTTTCTCAAAAGAGAGGCTGCAGTAAAACAAAGCATGTCCAAGTTCTCTGAAAACGCGTAAGCCTGTATACAAAGGCATATTATTATGGAAAGCTATCTGTTTGGTCTTTGGAGCAGTTTCATTTGACAGGATATGTGGGTGGTTGTATGAATCTAGCTTTGTCTATTCACAAACACATGGGTTTAATAAAATGGAGTTTGTTTTTTGAGGTGTGTGGTCCAGAGCTCACGGAAACACTTCTGTTTGACAAACACTGACCACGATTCTGAGAAAGGTGGAGCCCAGTTTCAGCCCCCTAACAATGGACGGTGGGAGTATAAATCTCCCAAGTCCACAGGAATACCCTGTGCTGGCTCCATCCGCCGCTTCCTGACCCTGCCCTTGAACCCCTGCTCCACCTTAACATTCAGAGCCAAGAGGACAGACACTGGGCTCTGAGTCACACTGAGAACTTCCTGGGGAGGGCTCTGGCCTCAGTCCTTGCACGGTCAAGTGGCTCGATGCAAGCACCGCAGTGTTTCCTTACCACCCAAATCCATTGTGTCCTTGATTACTCTTCTTAAACCCAGGAAAAGGGGGTTGAGCGTTTCGCCATCAGGCCACCAGGGACAAAGGGACACGTGTCTGCTATTTGTCCGACATTTCTGAACATAACATGCAACTATAAAAATATTTTCAAAAGTGAGTACACAAAATTCAACCCTATGTCCCTGTTTCTCTTTCCTGACAAATAAGAGAAACACTGCTTGGCTTCTTTGGATCTCGATCATTAAATCAGCTTCAGCTCCTAGTTTTTCATAAAGGTTTTTAGAGGGGTAACTATGGGCCAGATGCAATGCTGAGGGCACATGCAGGGTTCCCTGATGATGCTCACAGGATCCTGTGAAGTCAGTGTGTCTGTTGTGCCCATTTTATAGATGAAGATAATGAGGCACAGAAGAGCCCCGTCGCTCATGGGATTAGGCTTTCCTGTGCTGCAGAGATTGAGTAGAAGACCTGTCATGGGCAAGGGCTCCCCTCTCAATCAACTGGCAAATAATCACAGCTGCCTTCTATTAAATGCCAAGAAAAGTCTAAACTTGACAAGATAGGACATGTGCCCATCCCCATTTGACAGATAAGAAAATTAAGAACTGCGGTATAAAGAAGCTTGACCCTAGGTTGCCTCACTATCCAGTGGGTGGGCTCTGAGTCCCACCTCATCCGTCCAGTCTGACTCTCCGGTCTGCACTTGTAACCCCTCCAGCAAACCCTAGATATCCGATGCTAAATCAAATGCTGAATATAAACTGAAGGTGCTCCAGTAACCGAACAATATCGAGAATCTAGGATTTTGTCCACGCTCCAGTTCTACTGCTAAGACAGCCAAAGCACTGACCATTAGATAGGCACGCATCATTTTACCAACGTGTCCCCTAGGAAAGGCATGGGAGCTATGTTCTTGCCAGACAGCAGGACCTACAGGTAACTCTCTCCATGGAACATCTATGCTATGCAAAGAGACTAGTTGGCTTGCCAAGAATGAGTCAGTGTCAAAATAGGAAGCGAGAGGCTCTTTCAAAGACGATAATGTGAACGTATTGGCACATTGTAAGTTTCTTCCTCAGCTGAGGAGCTTTCAAGTTTTAACCAAAGTGAACAGCACTGACTTCCACACACACTTGTTCTTGACCTGAGCCTGAAAGTCAAGTGGCTCTTCCCCTGAGGTCAGGACAGTAGACAGACATTGGTGCCTGTCACGGTCCTTCCTCTCTTTGGGCAGGTATTTCCTCTGTGTTCCCATCCCTCACATCCGTGCATTGGCCTGAGGGTAAGTTGAGTCCCGGTAGGATCTGACCTGACTAGTGACTACTGAGGGCTGCAAATGTAGCCAGATGCAGGTGGGCTTTGCTGCTGACCTGATCCCTCAAGGAGGCTCACTGAGCTAGAAAGGACATCAGCATCAGTTCTGAGCATGTTTTATGAGAATGCATTGTCCTAGAAATGCCATAGCTCTAGACTGACACCAGCAAGAAACAGAACTCTCAGCTACTACGCATTTAATTTGAAGATTTTCACCTGTGTCATAACTTTTCACATTGCTGTCAATGAACAGAAAATAGCAGCTCAACTAATTCTGTACTTTGAATTTCTTTAGCATCTATCTCTCTTCTGTGGTGAGTTCTCATAAAACTTTGGTTGCATTTTTATGAATGATCAGCTACTAGTTTTTATTGTGATCAGCTGAGTTTGGCAATCTCTCCCACAGGGCCCAGGTTCTTTAGGGACATAATAGTCCATAAAGGTCTACTTCCCTCTTGCTGCACTGACAATAATTAACCACACACGGCTGTGTATCATCTGTTACTCTGACTTGAATTTTTGTTTCATTTCTCATATTTTGCTTTCTTTGCTAAGTAGGCAAAGATGCCTTGGGTAGAAAGAGGCTGTCTTATCTACCTAGTTGTAAAATCTAATAAATTTTCTTTTGAGCTCTATTTATCCCTAACAGGGGTAAGAACAGATACTTGTGTAGGTAAAAATTTGGTGTTCTTTTTGTTCACAGGAACTGGTATGATATGGTGATTAACCCAGACGCTGGTTTGAATCTCAGTTTAGCAATTTATATGCTGTGTGATCTTGGTCAAGTTATTGAAGCTCTCTTGGCTTCATTATTTTCTTCTTGAAAAATAGGAAAATGAAGAATACCAACCCCAGAGAGTTTTGAGATGATGAAAATGTTAGAATAAGCAGAGCATTGCCTAGCACATAGAACTTACTACCCTTTTTTCTTCTTGCCTTGTAGAACCAAACACACAAAGCACAACAATATGTGCTTGTTATCTCTAAATTAATTTTCATCTAGAGCAGTGTTTTATGCCAATCATTTAAGTCCAACTTTCCAAAAACCATCACACAAAAAGGAACTATCCTGACCTTTGGCAAACGCTCCGGGTCTCCAGGATGCCTGGGAATGACCTTCTGTAACCTCTGGAAACCATAATCAATGGTAGGTTCATTGAGCGCTGCAAAAAAGGAGTCAAACAATTAGGACATTTTCAGGAAATAAAGCAGAACATGCTTTGCAAAATGAATGCTACAGAAATAACTGAGACAGCCAAAGCACTGACCATTAGATAGGCACGCATCATTTTACGCAAACTTTACAGTGCAAAGTTTAATTGATACCCTTCAGTTAGGTCATCCAATGATCACATGAACAATCTATTTGCTAAGCATTTCCACCATCATCTGCTACTTACCAAGGAGGAAGGACACAGATCAAATTCTGTCTTTCTTATCATTACCAGAAATTAAAATGGTATTTGATATGAAGTTTCTGCATTCATTCAGGTTAGTTCAGAAGCTCAGATTGAAACACAAGGGCTTCTTGAGGGAAACATCTACTCCTTCTAAACCGCAGAGAACTAAAAGTCTCTACTCAACAGTTTCTAGAAAATCTTGGGGGCACCACAGCAGACCCTATTAGCCCAAACCTTTTATGCACTGAGGAGAGGGCTAGACATGGGTCTTCTGAGACACATGACAGTCTGTAAAGAGATAGCTATTGAACACACCCTGATGGCAAACTTAACACCTGAAATTACAGAGCCTTCCACCAACACTGATATTATTTTGAGAAAAAGATAAATCTCTGTGGAGTACTAGCATAGAGTAACTGAGTGCTCAAGAACATTTCTTTACAAGACTCAAAGAGCAGACCTGTAATAACATTTAGAGTCAATTGGCCTTGCTTTGCCCCTATTAACTAAACACTTCTAAATGAAACACAACATACTTGGGTCTGTCATTTTCAAGAATTCCTCCCTGAGATACGTCTTCAGTCTGTCTCATCTGAGAATGTGGAAAACATAGCAGCTCTGGAGGTGGTTTGGTGTGTGTGTGTGTGTGTGTGTGTGTGTGTGTGTGTGTTTTTAACCAGACTGAGTATTCAGCCACACATTTTTATTCTTTCCTGAATAAAAAGACAGTTTTTGTCATTCCAGCATTCAGCTATACATTAGAAAATAGTTGCATGCTTTACTTTAAATGCATTTTCCATTAACCTAAATTTTAAAAGTAAGATTCATACTATGACTAACTTTTAAAAACTGTGTTAAATTCAAATAGGTCCCAAGGCTAATGGAAGCAATTTGTATACCAACCCAAACTGACTGGCCCACTTTTCAAAATACAAGTATGATAATCTTGCGGTTTTAAAAGGACATTTAAATTGAAAGACTGTGAATTTAGTACATAATTATACCAATAGAACCCTTTAACTTGTCAACTTGTAAATCTAAAAGGCTATCAATCATTTCTAAAGAGGAAATAAACCTTAAAATTCCTTGATTGACAGTGCTTACTTTTTATGTAAGAAAAAAAAGGAGGGGGAAAAAAACTGCATAAAGTGGCCAGAAATCCATTTACAAAAGTACATTGTTTTACATAGGTGAGTAAAAAGCCAATAATTACACCCCCAAAAGACACATAAATCAGAGTAAGTACTTTTTCCACACTTGTATATTTTAAGTTGGAGTGAACTTCAAGTAACTTTTTATTAAAAAGATTTTTCCCAAATGCAATGCTTAGCGAAGTTGTTAATAAAGCCACATTTTCATTATATAACATAATCATTTTTTGCAAATATGAGGGCCAATCCTGCCTCCTTTCCAAGCAGTAAATTTTCAGCCCATCTCTTCTGGAAATTAACTACAATTATACCCAAGTGTACCAAATCTCTCTATACTAGTATTTGAATTAAGGCACAATATTTATGATTCCTCCTATTTTATGAATTACATTCTAAACCCTTGAGAAGAATTCTTTTTTCAAATTACACTTATAGAGTAAAAGCCACGGAACTCTTTATGCAGGGATGCAGTTACTCATAAAATCTATGGTATTTAATCAAGAAATGTGTATGATAGGAATGAGACCAAGGTTTGAGTGCTAGCTAATTGCCTGCAAAATGTCTAACCATAAATAGTAGCTTGAGACAATCAGATGCACTATTTTAGTACCTGCAAACAATTCAGCACCCTAAAAATTCCAATTCTTGGTTTTACTTTATCAGTCTAAGCCACCAATAAAATTTGAATAGTTGACCCACCCCTTCAACAGTTTGCATAATGAAGTCCTATTGTATCTAAGAACTCATGGCTCTTAATTGGGAAGACTAATATATTGAGGAATGATGTGATTTCTTGTTATAAGGCCAACTCACAGCAAAATGACTGACATCAACAATTAAAAAAATCACTTCAAATATCATATGGAACTAATAGCAAAGAACTGAGAAGTCATTCTGCCACCATGAAAAGTAATTGAATTAGACATATTAAACTCATTATTCAAAGAAAAATAAGCATCTGCTCTATGAAAGTATACTATGAGAGAAGATACATTTTAGGTACTAAGATAAGGCTCCCAATTTATTTCCCATGCCTTCGTGATTTGCTTTCTGCTCATATTTTTAAACATGCTGGCCTACACTCAGTGTAGGTATGGAATGTTACAGAGGGATTGTCTAGTGCTTCAACAATGCTCACAATAATGGTAGGCAAGACAAAGCCCACTGTCCTAAATCCAAAGGAGCTGGTGATTTCCCTGATGGCACTGACTACAGAAAACTATTAAATCAATTACTAAGTGGAAGGTGGGCATCTAATAAAGATTATCACTTTAAAAAAACATAATCTGTCCTCTTTTTAATGGAAAAAGATTAAAAATCTCGGGAAGCGGTCAGCATAGAGAATATGATGCAAAACTTGACAGAAGATGAGAAAACAGGATGGGATGCAATGGAATAGTATATGATAGACTACAGAGCAGACTATGATGTAGTTCATAAAGCTATGTCATGCAAAAATGTTATGTACTGACATACAATACTGAATTGAAGAGCAGATTAGGGGAGCATATGTACAATATGGCTAAGTTTTTAAATGAGCACAAATAGAATAAAGAAAATTTGTCTGTGTACAAACTGCTGAACATCAGTTGTTTCTAAGTATCAGGTCTGGAACTACTTCCCTCCTCCCTCTTTAGACTGTGCATTTTTTATGTTTTCTACAGTGAACATGTATTACTTTTATAATCAGAGAAAGAAGTTAAGAGCAAGAGATTGTTGCCGAGCTGGAATTTGACCTGCTTATATAAAGTAATGACATAAGAAACTATGCCTTAAAAAAGAGGTCTGTATACCCTTTAATAACCTGGCATAGGTTACTACAGACCATAAGAAAAATAAGTAGTATACTTTTGGCCAGTTGTATAAATATGTGACTATTCGTAAACTCTCTGAAAATCAACAGAGAGGGTAGCGGGAAGGAATCATAAAGAATGGTATATTTATTTCATCATGGGGGCCAGTCATACCTTAGGGACTATACATCGACTCTGCAAGAATGTAATATAAAATTAACTTTTCAACAAAGTGACCTCATTGTACTCAAGTGCAGAGCTCAGGGAGCACCAGTAGAAATGTGACTACTCAATGTTTTCCCTTGCAAACTTGGGGCAGTTCCGAGAATCTGGTAGAAAAAGAAAAAACAACTTAATTGGACATAATTACCCACAAATAAAGACGCCTGAACAACTTAGGTTGAAAACAGGAAAACAGATCAAGATGTAAGCTGCACAAGGAATGGAATCATGAGAGCAGCCTGTGTGGCCTCGCTTCCAGACAGCTCTCTGAAAGGATCTGAGACAGTGTGGCCCTAACCAGCTAGGGATGATAACAGAAAGGCTCAGTGGCTTGGCCTATTCCAAATAAGAAAGTCTTAATGTCTTAATCCCCAGAATAAAATGGGACCAACGTATGTGTTTTTGAATTACAAAAGACATCAGATGATCTAATTATTCAGTAATCATTTGTAGAGCCCACCATATGCATTTGTAAAAATTAGCTGTTTTGTGTCACAATATCGTAAGTCATTAGAAGGAAACACTCTGTAACCATAATGCGACCCAAAGGGACAGATGAACTGCTCTGATTGTAGAGTTAGAACCTTGTTCAGATGCTCTCACCAGGATTTGCCTACTGAGCAACCATCCATTGTCCTGTCTCCCACACTGTTATCTCTTCTGCTCTGTTTCTGACAAAGCCTTCACTGGGGTCAAGTCTGCTTAAAGGGGACATGAGCTTAAGTGCTGATAAGGGTCGTGTAAATGCACAAACAGTTAAATCCAAGACACCTTGTACTCACCCCTTACAATGTATTTACTGGTAAATAGATATTTACAGAATAAGCTTGGTAGCACTTTACAGAGCTGGGTGCAGTATGCTAGAATAAATCTGAAACTTTCTTTCTTTCTCATAAAAGGCAAGATCAGATGCTACTCAACAGGAAAGCAAGCTTCCAGGGCACACACCTCAGGTGAGATGTGAGAAATGCCTTCACCTGCACAGCTCTGATGCTGCACACGGAACAGGCAAGTGAAGAAGGGCGTGCTGTTTTCACAGGGTTGGCATTTCCGCTGCAATAAAGTTCTTTCTTTAAAAAAAAAAAGTTAATTAAATGGTTAAAAAAAAAAAACCCCAAGCCACTCCTCTGATTGCACTGGGGCTACTTATAAATGACTTTAGGTTCCTTCCTAGCTCATCATCATAGAATTCCCTAAAGGAAACCAGTAACTTTCCATTCTGAACCGATCTCTATGAAGCCTTTCACCTTATGGGCTTCAAACCAAGTGCTGACCAGAACAGAAAAACTCTAGTTATAGAAAGTTATTTTTGCAATGTCCAAATTTTCATGCAGCATGAAATGTTAGCTGCAAAACAAACTCCCCCAAATTTAGATAATACAACTAGATTTTATGGACGAATACTAATCGTAAGATTATCACATTTAAATATGATATCTAGTAATGAGTAAATTATAACCAAATTTACATGTGGCCTTTTTGTTTTTAAAGGAAATACACTTCACAAACATGTTAAGTTATAAAAAGTTCTCTTCGAGGGAATTTATTTGCAACTTAAAATCCTGTAGTCATGACAGATGTATTGACAGTTACAAAC